GGCCGCAGCAGGCGAGATGTAAAGGCAGAGCAGGGTATTGCCTCGCAGAAGTGGGGGAGAGCTGCTTGCCGCTTCTTACCGGGAATGAGCGCGCGCGGGGTTATCCGAGTGCCTTTAGGAGAATGAGCTTCGGTGGGCTGATAATTTGCCAGCCTATTGATTATTTTTTGACGGCAAACATCCCCGTTATCTTGTTTTCCGGAGTTCTGAACATCTAAAAAGTGGCATACCGACTTCCATTTGTAACTCGGGGGTGGCCTCTTGCGCTTTAAAGGGACAGCATGTTCTGCGGAACCTGTTTCTTTGTGGTGCGTGTAGGCCCCTATGCTCTTATAAATGAGGACAAAATAAATGTAAAAAAAAAAATTACGTGCGGATTGTGCGTGTTGACGTTGATTGTTCTTAAAAGCTTTTTTCACAGCTTTTTTCTAGCATGAATGTTTTAATTTCTTTGCTGCCAGACTTATGTAGTACTACGTTATTTTTTTGTTCTTTCTGCTCAGGGATTGTGTATCTATTTTGATTTCTTTTATACTTTTATTTTTCATCTGCTTTCATTTAGTAAGTTTTTTTGGAGGTTTTTGATACATCTTTATCAAGAGCAAAATTCTGTAGTTCTCCTAATGGTATACATTAACGTTTTTACGTTGGTCTACAGGAACGTTAAGTTGTTGACAGCTTTCAGGACAAAAGCTGCCTAACCTCTCCAGACGATAGTTTATTACTTCAGGCTATACACACAGGCACTCAAAAAAGGTTGGGGTTTTTTTGGCAGTCAACCTTTGGGTGGCCCTCTTTAAGTTAATGTGCTGTGTTTCTTTTGGTAACGTTGGAGGATAACATGGCTGTGTTGCCAGAGACCTGCATTATCATTTCACCTTAGGCTGTTTCTCTAGTACTTCCTGGGTTTGGGTGTTTTTGTTGAAGGCCAGAACACTAATTTACACCCCAGGTAAGGATGCAATTTGAAAATGTCATGGAAGCCCAAACTAAAATCTCTTTAACTTCTGAAAAAAAATAGGAAGTTCTTGGCAAAAAAGATCACTACTATCCCTTTGTAACATGATTTGCTTCTGGCTACATTCTTAATTTGATCTAATTTTATTTGGTGGTTACTTGTGCATTGTGTACCTTACCTTTTCTCACTCGGTTTTGGAAATTTTTGCCACGGTTTTCAGTGTTCTCTTGCAAAAGCAAAGGGGGTTTTTTAGATATAATAATTTGAAACTAAATTCATTTTGGCTATGTTTGGTTTTGGGTTTGTTCACAAGAGCATCTTGTTGATGTTGGTCTCTGTGTTGGCCCACAGAAACTTAATTTGATGTTTTATACCTCCATTGTACATGTGGACTAGAAGCAATTGTATATGTTATTTCTTAAATCCATTCAAGATGTTCAGTGTTGTGTCTTCCCCTGTGTTGGCTAAGTTGTCATAGAATCATTAAGGTTGGAAAAGACCTCTAAGGTCATCGAGTCCAGCTGTCGACCCAACACCACCATGCCCACTAAACCATGTCCCTAAGCGCCTCATCTACACATCTTTTAAATACTTCCAGGGATGGTGACTCAACCCCTTCCCTGGGCAGCCTGTTCCAATGTTTAACCACTCTTTCAGTAAAGAAATTTTTCCTCACGTCCAATCTAAACCTCCCCTGGCGCAACTTGAGGCCGTTTCCTCTCATCCTATCGCTTGTTACTTGGGAGAAGAGACCGACACCCACCTTGCTACAACCTCCTTTCAGGTAGTTGTAGAGAGCGATGAGGTCTCCCCTCAGCCTCCTTTTCTCCAGGCTAAACAACCCCAGTTCCCTCAGCCGCTCCTCATAAGACTTGTGCTCCAGACCCCTCACCAGCCTCGTTGCCTTCCTCTTGACACGCTCAATGCCCTTCTTGTAGTGAGGGGCCCAAAACTGAACACAGTATTTGAGGTGCGGCCTCACCAGTGCCGAGTACAGGGGCACGACCACTTCCCTAAGACTTCGTTACAGACCAGTCATGACAAATTAAAAGGTGATTAAACAAGCAATTTCTCATCTGCTCTTCTTTGGACTGTTCAGCGCAGCTGTCTGGTTTCTTATAAAAATAACACAAGTCTGGAGTACAGTAAAATTACACGGACTGTTTTTAAAACACTAATAATTGCTTCATAAATTGCATCTGTCCCTTGGCAGTGCTTGATTGCAAAATGGTAGGTATAGTTTGTAGAGTGAATATTAGAAGTGCTGGTTAGCACTTAAAGACAGACTTTTGGAAAGGTTGTGATGGTAGAGAACAGAAACTCTTCTAATTTCCGTGATATTGCATCTTGAGCTTAACGAATGCTTTATGGACCATGCTTCCAAATTTGCTGTGTGACTGTGCTTTATAATTGCTGGTACGTACAGTCCAATACAGAGAATGTGTAAGTAGCACTGAATAAAATAGATACTCTGCAGATACTAAAAAAAAAAAAAAGCCACAAACCAACAACTTTTGTTAGGCGTTGAATGATACCTTGCGTAAATTATTATTTAAGTGGCTTGAAAGTTATGTATTTCTGATTGCTGGAGAGTAAGGAATGTAAAGTATGTGTTAAAATGGAATATGTCTATGATATTTTGCTAGGAGGCTATGTACTAATAGGCCTAAATTGAGTGTAAAGCAACATGAGATGTTAACTTGTAGCACTAAATGCCTTGTGGCTTCTCTAGAAATCCCAGAGCTGAAGCTTGTATCTGTTCATGTGCAGGTGATACAAACCTGTGGTTATTAATGTGCTCATTCTGGCTTGTGTAATCAGGTTGAAAATGGAGTATAGACTATTAAAAAAATGCAACAATGAAGTTTTTGTATTGGTGAATGTTAAATTGATACCTCTGAGATTTGATTATGTGTGTGGAGGTAAATAGTGGTTGTTTTTTTTTTTCTCTTTAATCAGATCACCCAGAAGACACAATGAGCGTTAAAGCTTTCAAGCTCGTTTCTGCTGTTGAGCGGGAGATGTTAATGGGAGACAAAAATTACATCAACATTGAATGCATTGAGTGTTGCGGAAAGAACCTCTATATTGGAACCAATGACTGCTTTATCTATCACTTTCTGTTGGATGAAAAGATCTCAACAGCTGGAAAAATAACTTTTGCTGCCACCAAGCAACTGCATAAATACCTGGGCTTGAAGAAGCCTGTGAGTGAGTTGAAAGCAGCCTCCGCCCTCACCAGGCTTCTTGTGCTTTGCGACAACACAATAACACTAGTTAACATGATGAACTTGGAACCTGTCCCCACTGGTGCTAGAATCAAAGGAGCTGTGACATTCGCATTAAATGAAAACCCCGTGAGTGGGGATCCTTTCTGTGTCGAAGTCTGCATTATCTCGGTCAAGCGGCGGACCATTCAAATGTTCATGGTGTTTGAAGACAGAGTCCAGATAGTGAAGGAAGTGTTTACTCCAGAGCAACCCTGTGCTGTGGCTGTAGATGGTTATTACTTATGTCTTGCACTTACTACACAGTATATCATTTTGAATTATAATACTGGCGTCTCCCAGGATCTATTTCCTTATTGCAGTGATGAGAAACGGCCAATTGTGAAAAGGATAGGCAGACAAGAGTTTCTGTTGGCTGGCCCCGGAGGCCTAGGTGAGACTAAGGATTGTGATTTTTTTGCAGTTTTTTTAACTTCTCTCTCTTGTTTTCTCTCAATTTGGGGAGCAAAGCTTAACTAATTGTGGTGCACAATAATGACAATTTTCTTCACAGGGTTATACTGGAATATTGAGATAAAAAGGTAGATGGTAAATTTTTTTGTACTAAGTATTATTATACTCTCCTGCTTTTTTTAATGCACAAAAATCTGATTATTTGTATTTTAGTCATGTCTGTAGAAAGCTTCATTTCTGTATAGACAGCTAACAGTAGTAGTATCTTGCAGCCCAGAGTAAAAAAATTGGTTGGTACCAAGTGAAACTTGAGAGGCTGATAGGCTCTCTGTAGTGACTAGCCAGACTGGGTTTGAGGAGCCCCATGTTGCTATAAATTTAGTGTAAATGAATTAATTTAATTAGTGTAGCTAAGTTAATTTTTTCCTCAATTGGTATTCAGAGGAGTTCATACAAAGTTCATTTTATAGAGTGTAACAGATTCACAAATAGCTATGTTGTACTACAATGCTAGTAAGAAATGTTAGTGGAAGTAAATATCCTAACTCTTGTACAAGTAAACTCTGTCCAAACTGTAGATGTTGTCAGATACTACCCAATTTTTACACTCCCATTTGCTTAATTTTTTTAACAGTATTTTTCAGCTCCATGTTACAGAAAATGATAGTTTAAGTATTGCAAACCCGAAGTTAGATCATGTGAAATAATGCTTTTGTCTAGTAGACAGATGATTGTAAGGATTGTTGTTGTAATCTGTCTAAATCAACAATATGCTGTGAGGTCAGTAGTCTTGAGCTTTTTTTGGAAAAGCTGCAATATCTCAGAGCTGACAGACCACAGGCAGAATGCTTTCATGCTGTTTGCCATATGACTCTCCATTTAGGAGATGCAGTTTATTTATCTTCCCTGACACATTAGGAATAGCATGACGCAAAGATCACAACTATTTAGGTCCTTAATTCAGGGATCTGCATGTGTTTCAGTTTTTTAGTATAAATTCTAAAGAAAAACAAGAGTGCAATCAGTTGTTTATATTTAAGTTTTGTCTTGTGACCAGAATGTGAGATGTACATCAACTCACCAGTTTTTCTTCAAAGAAGTAGAGACTCATTAGAATATCAGTTTATGCAAATTAAAGATGTTCCAAGATGAACTTGTTTTTTCAGACGTAGGGCTCTTCTAAATCATCTTGGTTGCCCACTTCTTATTAAAACTCCTAGTTACTTGAAATGTGGACATGCATTTGTGGACATTAACTGTTTTAGTAGTGCTATGAAAGTTAAAATTTGTGAATTGACTATCTGAAAGTATTCCCTTTTGACACGTTTTGAAGGAGATCCCATTCTTACTTTAATCTTTATCTTTTTAGGAATGTCAAACCAGATTCTGTTCAACTGGTTCATTTCTTTTTTGATTTAAGAATAGATACATTTTCAAAAGCATAATTGTATCTAGTCAGAAAGCAGAATTTTATTTAGTCCAACTTTTGCTTTTATCTGGTGTCCTAGAAGAGAGCTACACCGTAAAACCTTTACTCATAAAATCCGACATCCTTGTGTAAGTAGATTGTCCTGGGGTTAAAATTGCCAGATATGTGATATCTTAAGCAAATGTCCTTCTGCAGCTCTAAACGTGCTATCGACTTCCCTTTTTCCCATAATACAGGCAAAGTCTACCTTGTACTAGCTCAGAAACCTTACAAAGACTGCTTGCTATGGATCTTTTCCTTGCCTAATTCAGCTTGTGGGTTTGTTTGGGGTTTTTTAATCATCTGTTCTCTATTCCCTCCCCACTGTTGTTTTGTTTAGTATTATCCATCTTGCTGTTCTTCCTTGGTAAAATTCTTAGTGTCTTTAACACTTGTCTCTTTGAAGTTGTGAAGGTGGTTGAGCACCTTTATAATACATAAGCATTGTATATCTTGGCATTTGAGGTAGGCCTCTGCTGTAAAGTGAATGGACTTGAAAAGGCTTGATGTAAATTTTCAATTCTAGTTTTGGTTTGCTTTTGTATGTCTTACTGGTTAAGACATGTTCATTTGGCATTTGGTAGAGCATCTGTGCTAAATTCAGCCTTTTTTACTGAGGTGGATGTATTCTGCATTAATATATTCGGCTTTATGGTGTCTGAAGTGACATTTATCTAGATTAATTTGCTTTTGAGTTAAGACTGGAATTTAGAATGGCAGAAAGCAACTGCTTAAAATGATAATCATAAAGTAAAACAATTTGAGTTTCTTGGGTATGTAACCTTTTCCCTTACCTGGACTCTTTGCATTTAAAACTGATTGTTAGAATTGTTCATAGTTGATCCATAGGCTTAGCCGTTCAGTAGTTTGTTGGCTCTACTTGCAGTTAGTACATAGCTCATTCTTTCAAAGGGAGGAGGAACTTCATTTTTGATGCATCTTCATTCTGTCCAGTAATTAGTTCATTCAGAATTGAAAATCACTTCTTTCTGATTATGTATGAAACTATGCTTACCAAAAGTCAGTTTTTCATTTCATGAAGCTCTTGTTGCATGTTTCTAATCAGATTTCCTGCCATACAGAGGCTTTAAGTTTTTAAAATTTCAGCAAACAGTTCTTGCACATTGGCACAGGGCATGCTTCCTAGCACCAGCTGGAGCAACTACCCCAAAACATCAGAGGCCTTGTCTCAGACCGAGCTCCCAAGGGAGGGTGCGGCTCTTCAGGTCTTGAGCTGAAGGAAGCGCCTGGTGTCTCTTGCTGAGCCTGGGGCAGAGGGAAATTTTGTCCTTGCCTGCAGGAGTTGTGTGCTTGGTTGACGATTTGTGTTGCCAAGTAAAGGAGATGCAGGAGGAGATCAGCAGAGTGCACGGCATCAGAGAGGACAAAAAGGAAATTGAATCTTCTCCAGGACCCAGGCATGAGCCTAAACCCCCAACTGTACTGGGAGAAGGGCAGGCTGAGTCTCTGCTTGTTCTGTGATGGCAAAGGCTGGAAACTTGTGACTTCTCTCCTTCTCAGCCTGCAGATTTGCATCTATAGAATATGTTCAGTGCTCTGGTAGCAGATGAGAAGCGGGAAGCTCTGTCCAACAAATCATCTGAGCCTGTACAATGCAGTAGCACCAGGAGGAATTAGCAGGTAATAGTAGTGGGACACTCCCTCATATTGGAGATGGAGGGTTTCTCATCAGTCCTGTTGGTGAGGAAGAACAGCTTGAGGAGGAGTGTGTGGATCATGCAGGTCACCAACTGATTTAAACTAGGAATGGTGGTTGTAGGCTGGGTTGGCAAACAACGACTGCAGGATGATGTGGATGAGACTTTGTAATCAACAAACAGGGCTGAAGAGGCCCTGCTTCAGGCATATGCACACAAAGAAGTGTGTACAAAACAACATGATGGTGAAAGCGCTCTCGCTTTTTCTGGGAAATCAAAGGAGGAGGCAGCTGAGATTTTATGGATTAGGGTTAGAGGGCAGACTAACACGGGGGACATTGTGAATGTCTACTACAGACCACCTTATCAGGAAGAAGATGTAGGTAAGGCCTTCTTCAGATAACTGGAAGAAAACTTCATTTGCAGGCCCTGGTTCTTAGGGGGCACTTGAACCTACTAGAGGGCAGCACAGCAGGGCACAAGCAGTCGAGGAGATTTCTGGAGTGCATTCGTGTTAACTTCTTGACCCAGGTAACTGAGGAGCTGATGAGAGGATGTGCTCTGTTAAACCTAGTTAGGGATATGAATGTCAGGGGAGCAGCCTTGCTGCAGTGTCCATGAGATGGTGAAGTTCAGGATCCCGAGAGAAGGGAACAAGGCAAAAAGACCACAAGCCTGGACAGCAGACTTTGGTTTGTTCGGGGTCCTGCTTAAAAGAATCCCATGGAATATGGTCCTGGAGCAGAGGACTGCCTCCTCCAAGTTCAAGAGTGGTCCATCCCACTGGATGGACCACTTTTCCAATGAGCAGGAAAACAAGCAAAGGTGGCAGGAGGACTGCATTAATGAACAAGCAGCTCCTGACTAAACTCAAATACAAAAAAGGAAGCAAATGAGGTGAAAGCGGGGCCAGGTGACCTGGAAGGAATATAGAGACGCTGTTCAAGCATGTGGGGATGGGGTTAGGGAGGCCAAAGTCCATCTGGCATTGACTCTGCTATGCACCATGAAGGGCAACAAGAAGAGCCTCTACAAGCATAGCAGCAGCAAAGGAAGGCTAATGGATGCCCACTGCTGAATGGGGCAGGGAACCTGGTGCCAAAGGACATGGAAAAGGCTGAGGTGCTTAATGCCTTCTTTACCTCAAACGTTACCTGCGTGACCTTCCTTTAGGAATCCTCAGCCCCTAGGACCAGTGGGAAAATCTGGAGCAACAAAAACCTGCCCTCAGTAGAGAAGGATTGGGTTATGGAACATTTAAATAAACTGGACAGACAAATCCATGGGACCTGATGGGGATGCACCCATGAATGCTTGAGAGTGGTGGTCAGCGTCATTGCGAGGCCACTCTTGATTATCTTTGAAAGGTCACAATGATCAGAGGATGTTCCTCAGGACTGGAAGAAAACAAATGTCTTCACTCCTGTCTTAGATGAGCAAGAGAAAGGATCTAGGGAACTAAAGGCTGGCCAGCCTTACCTTGATCCCCAGAAAGGTGATGGAGAAAATCCTGGAAGCTATTTCCGAATATACAAAGGACAAGAATGTGATTTGGAGTAAACAACATGGATTTACAAAAGGGAAATTGCCTGACCAGCCTGACAGTCTTCTGTGATTAGATGCCTAGCTCGGTGGATGAGGGGAGAGCAGTGATATTGTGAACTTCAGCAAGGCTTTTAGCAGTATATCCCATAACATCCTTATAGACAAACAGATGAAGAATGATCTAGAGAAACAGTGAGGTGAATTGAAAGCCTGGCTCAAAGGTTTGTAGTCAGCAGCGCAAAGTCCAGCTGGAGGCCAGTCACTAGTCATGTACCCTGGGGGCCGATAGCGAGGTCAATACTAACATCTTCATTAACAACACGGATGGTGGGGCAGAGTGCACCTTCAGCAAGTTTGCAGATGATACAAAAGTGGGAGGAGTGGCTGATACACTAGGGGTTTGTGTTGCCATTCGGAGGGACCTTGGCAGGCTGGAGAAATGAGCTGACAGGAACCTCATGAAGTTCAGCAAAGGGAAATGTCAAGTCCTGCACCTAGGGAGGGACAGCCCCGTGCACCGGTACAGGCTGGGAGCTGACTGGCTGGAAAGCAGCTTTGCAGAGAGGGACCTGGGGGCTCTGGTGGGCAAAGTGACCATGAGCCAACGATGTGCCTTTGTGGCAAAGAAGTCCAACAGCCTACTGGGCGGCATTTAGTGGTAGACTTGGTAGTGTTAGGTTAACAGTTGGGCTTGATGATCTTAAGGGTCTTTTCCAACCTAAATGATTCTATTGGGAAAAGTGCTGCCGGCAGGTTGAGAGAGGCAATTATTCCCCTCAGTCCTAGTGAGACCACATTGGGAGTGCTGGGTCCAGTTCTGGGCTCCCTGAATGGCATGGACATACTGGTGTAAATCCACTGAAGGACTAGAAAGACAACTAAGTGATTGGAGCACCTCATATGTGGAGAGGCGGAGAACACTGGGACTGTTCAGTCTGAAGAAGGAAATGCTTACAGAGATCTTATCAACAGGTATGGGGAGGACAAAGAAGACTGAGCCAGACTGCTCATTGGTGTTGTATTCAGTGAAAGGATAAGAGGCAGTCGGTACAAACTGAAATATAGGAAATTCTACGTAAACATAAGAAAACAAATTCCTGATTGTGATGGTGCTCAAACCAGAAAACAGGTCTTGGAGAGGATGTGGAGTCTCTGTTCTTAAAGATACTCAAAACCTAACTGGGCGAGGTCTTGAGCAACCTGTTCTGGTTCACCCTACTCTGAGCAGGGAAATTGGATTAGACAGTCTGCGGAGGTCCCTTCCTCCTTCAACTACTCCATGACTTTAATGAGTGAAAAAATACAAATTTTAAATACCTAATTTTAGTTTATTCCTTTTGCTTTTCCAGAATAAACTCTTCTCAGTGGTGCATGGTTTGAACAGTTGTATAGTGATTGAGTAGACTACAAATGGAGTTGGAGAACTGAGCTTGTTACCTTGTAACAAGCACACAGGTACTAAGCAGAATGATTCATAGAAGGTTATGCGGAGCCTTTTCTCATAGCTGGTGACACTGCATAGAGCAGGGTAGTCAACAGTAACCAGCATGTTCCCTTCTTGTTTTCACCCACTCGTAGTGTTTCTCATGCTGTCAACTTTTATGATAACTGAAAGTTTTCATATTCCTTTTCAAACAAATAATAAAGTTTTTATTCAATTTTACAGATACTTTTACTAAGAAGCTTTTTGTTTTAAAACAAACAAGTAAACAAAATCTGCAGTCTATTGCACAAAGTCCAGAGTAACCTGATCTAAGTTGGTCCCGCTTTGAGTGTGGTGGGGCTGGACTGGATGTCCTTCAGAAACCCCTTCTGACTTAAATTATTCTATGATTCTATAAATTTCGAGATCTCTTGGTGCTGAAAGCAGTGTAGCTGTGTTTTGGGTAACTCTTGTAACCTTTAGATAGCGTATGCATTTTAAATACAGAATTGATTACTGGCTTCATCTCAGTTTCATCAAACGCATTCCTGTACTATAAAAAGGCCACAGGTTCTGATTGTAGTTGTCTTGTTTATTGTTATCCTTAGGTGAGAGCTGGATGAAGACAGAAAATGCATCATTCTACCACAGAAGCCCTAGCTATTGAGGGCAGGGGGATGTAGAGAGACATTGACTTGGAAGAGTACTGTGCATTGCGCTGCATACCCTTTCACTTCCGTAAAGGATTTTTTTAAATTACCTAAAAAAGAGCTCTGTCATCTAAAAAAAAAAAAAGTTTTTTAAATCATGTTTTTAGTGTTTTTGGGGTTTTTTTTTTGAGAATGTAAGAGAGAGAAAATTCTAAGAATTGGCATTTCAAATATAATTAGCCTTGAGTTGACTACTGGCTAGTATGTATGTAACTCAAGTTTTCTCCTACTTTTTGAAATGGGATTATAGCAGAGAGTAACAACTGGAAGGCATTAAAAATGGATAGTGCAGTCTGCCTGGCATAAAATTCCACTTCTGATCCATAAGAATATCAAGATCTATAGAGGAAATCGGGAATTATATATTATGGCAAAAAAAAAAAAAGTATTTTCTGTAAGGCACTCTGATTGAAAAGCTGATCATTATCGTGAAAAAGGAAATAGCATCACTTGCTAATATGTCAGATGTGAAACTTCAATTTTGTGTTGCACCCTTAGTCAAGTGAAAGAGCTGATCATTTCAAAGCTGCTATAAAGGATCCAGAAGCTTAGTCTCTACAGCGTAGTTCTGTGAAAATCTACAACCTTCTGGTTTCCTTCCCGCCCCACGCCCAAGATGGTCCTCCTACCCAGCTACCCTTACCTCATTATCCTCTGTTTGGAAGAGGTTTTGTAAATTGAATAACATAATCTTTTTATCTCCTCTGTCCTTTAGAGCTCAGACTTATTCTACCAGCTGTCAAGTGGCTCATTGCTGCCGAAGAACAATTTTCATGGGCGTGTCTTTTTAATAGCATGAGAATACTGGTTTTAAGGGGTATGCATTCATGTTTAGAACAGAAGTTTACATAGTGCTTCAGCATGGCTCAGCTGGCAAAGGGTTACTGAACTAGGTCTGAAAACTCTGACTGGAGTTTTTCTTCAGTTAATGTCTCAGGAAGAATTGGGGAATACCAAGTAGCATAAAGAGAACCAGTGGCGCGTGGTCCAAAAGCAAGTCAAACTTCTGTTAAGCTAGGAGAAGGAAGGACAGAATAGGCAGGAGGAAAGATAGTGGTAAAGAAAAACACGAATTAACTGAAGATTTAATATGGTTGTTTTGAAGACAGCATAGGAGGTATTAGGATATTTAAAAAGTCTACTCTGTGCTTGGCTTTTGGGAAAATATGTTTTATATGCAGCGTCTGCATCTTTTTTCAAATGATTGAAAACACAGATGCCTCACAGGAAGTGACTTGTCCCAAGGAGCCGGACCCTCATTTTGTGAAAATGGTGCTGTAGCAAAAGAGAAGTACAAGTAAATGATCGTCTGTCAACTAAAATGCTCTTTAGACATTTGACACTACGAGCAACAAATATGCCTGTATTGCCAAATAGGTCAGGTGGTGCAGGTCTGTGGCTCCTGCTAAGGCAGTATTGTTTGAATGCTGGGTCTCACTAAATATTAGTGTTTTGAAATTAATTCAAACCACATGGCATAATTCTTGTTAAAAAAAATCTGAAACTTACTAAACTTGAATAATTCTTGCTAGTTTCTTTCAGTATTCCTCTCTTGTTTTTGGTGTTGTCTGTTTCTGTGGTGAAAGAGAAAGGAAAAAAAAAAATTTGAACTGAACTAACCAACAGGTCTGTAAGGTCCAGGGAGGTGTGATGCGCTGTTGTCATGCCACCTGATACTGCATCTGTTCTTCTGAGACTTTTTTATTTCTGTACCTTGGTACCCATGCTTTGTATTGGGAAAACAACAGTTTTCAACTAAAACGAGCCTCAGGCTTTGTTCTTCCCTTTTTGTAGGCATGTTTGCAACTGTAGACGGCATTTCACAGCGTGCCCCTGTGCACTGGTCAGAGAACGTGATTGGAGCAGCTTTGTGCTTTCCTTACGTGGTTGCTCTCGATGATGAGTTCATTACGGTGCACAGCATGCTGGACCAGCAGCAAAAGCAAACGCTGCCTTTTAAAGAAGGTCACATTCTACAGGACTTCGAAGGTATTAAAAAGGACACTTCTTTGCATCAGTAATTCTGGAACAACCACCGCTGTGGGCACAGTCACTTCAGTTTGTTTTTTAAACAAAATATCTGGCAAGCACATTAACTGTTGAAATTTTTATTGCAAATGCTTTCCTGATTAGATTCCTGCAGACTATGATAGGAAAACTTTAGTCATCCAAAATTCCACACTTCTAACAAAATGTGTGCTCGTTAAATGTGCTCTAATTGTTGAGTTAATTGTTGGGTAGGAGTCTGTGGGGTTAGAGCTTTTTCTTGTAACTTAATTATTTCTTTCAAAGGAACAATGTTAATTTAATGCTATAAGTCAATACCTGTGAGCTACAGGTATTTGTCCATTGGCTATCCTAACAAAGTTCTAACATCTTAAATTGCTCTTTTGTATTCCTTTCTAAAATATCTGTAAGAGGTTTAAAAGGGGATATTTCATAAAGAATTGTTAAACAAAAAATACAAAAATTTCTTTTGACCTATTCTTCAGTTAAGAACTCTTAAGTGTGGAATACATTGTGTTGCTATTTTTTTCCAGGAGAGCTACAAACTCTAGCACTATGAACTATATGTTACTTGCTACCTTTGATGTACAGCTTACAATTTTCTAATGTAAGCCTGTGGAAATATCTGGCAGTTAAAAGTCCCTATTGTCTGGAATCTGGGCAATAGTGGTGGCCTTTACTTACAGCTTAGTTCATCATGAGAGATTATAGCCAATTTCATTTACTCGGAGTGGAACAAAATCTGCTGTAAATAAATAAATTTACCATTATCTCTGTATTTCTGAGGTGCAATTTACAGATAAACTATACTATCTAGTAAATATGGTAACAACAAAGATGAGTTTTGGAACTTTAACACTGCTTAGGTTCTTGTATCTTAAATAGTAAATCTTAAAGCTTATTTCTGAAATGTGTTTTTCCTGTAGGGAGTGTAAACTGAATATGTCTGTTTGCTCTGTCCAGGAAAGGTGATTGTTGCTACTAATAAGGGTGTGTATATCTTGGTGCCGCTACCTTTGGAAAAACAGATTCAGGATCTTCTAGCTAGCCACAGAGTGGAAGAAGCCCTTGTTCTAGCAAAAGGAGCTCGAAGGAATATTCCAAAAGAGAGATTTCAGGTGTGTCCTTCCTTTAATTTTCATGAAAATATAAATTTCACAGTGGGGCCGTGTATACCAATGGTTGAGTGACTAGAGAGGGTGGGGGAGGAATTTACATTGAAGAGAAATGTAATGCCTTTTATAGTTTCAGCCTGAGGAAATAGACGTGCTGCTGAATTGGCTTGTGCTTGTAAAGGCTGTGACATTGGCAGGGTTGAATGCTGCTGTTCTGCTGGGGTTTTGGTGTTGGTTTTTTTCAAGTGTGTAACTTGAAAAAATTGAAAACAAAACCAAACCAAAAAACCAGTGATAGAAAACCCACTGCGATGCCTCCTTAGTACTAGGTTCAGTTATTATTTGCTATTGCTGTTTAAAAAAAGTATGCTTTATTTCAAATCAGAATTTTTAGGTTTTACTTGTTTTTTATCAGAGATTCTTACCATATCCTACATTGCACAGTAGTACAACTTCAAAGTTAAGTGATGGGAAATCTAAAGCAAATACGTCCTACTTCCAAACTCATATAAGTAGTACTTGTACTGGTGTGTAACTGAATATTTAAGATTTTTGTGTGGCAAAGTATCGTAGTAACTCTTTGATTAGAGTGTTGATTAGAGATTCGTACTCATTTCCTTCTATCTCTGGTTTATATTACAATACATATTCTACTGTATTTGTTCCTATTTGTCATTTAGAGACTGAAACTTGGAAAAAGTAGTATGAAATCTCTACTCACCAAGTAGGTGAATGAATATTTGACTTGGTTTCTTTCCTTTTATAAAAGCAAAATTTGATCTGCAACCTGCAGGAAATCTGGTTTGTTTGTTTGGTTGTTTTTTTTAATATACTTTGGAGCATTTTGTTGCCATTAAAATAGTATCTGCTGCATTCCTTTCGGTTTGTTTAGGAAGATGTAAAGTTTGGAACATGACTGTGGAAATTACAGAATTGCAGGGGTCCCAAATGGTTAGGTCTGCCAGGATTTTTTTGTTTGTTTGTTTGTTTTAAATTTCAAGAGGTTTCTAATTCCTTTAAATTCATTTAAATTTTGGTGAAGGCCCTTGAAAAGCAGTCATTAAATTTGTATCAGCTTTCATTTTGATCCTTAACTCCTCCATTGAATGAGCAGCTGGGAGGCTTCTGGGAGTAAAAAGCTTGGCCAGAAAACTGTGCCCATCCTTTTGCTAAGGTACAACTATCTGGAAGTACTTGAAGCTGAAAAGTATTTAGATAAATACAGAGTTCAGCTTCCAGCACGTTTTGCTTTGCATCTTCACTTCCAACTTCTCCTTTGCAATCTATTTAAAGAAGCAAACTAAAATCCTGCTGTGAGGACAGGATGCATGATCTAATCAATGTCTTCTGTGTATGATGACCTCTAATTCTCCAATTATTTCTTTCCAGTTTATGTAGATTTAGTGTGGGAGATGTCTTTCTGTGTTTTGCCACACGATGAACTGCAATTCAGTATCAAAAATATGTGATGTGGAATCTCATTCCTCCTAAGTTTTCTTGCATTTAGGATTTTTCTGTCTTTAGGATAAGTTACTTTCTGTTCACATGTATTTTATGTGCACAATGTCTGTTCTCCTGAAATTACTGTTTCCAAGAATATTGTAAGTTCTTTCTACCTTAACATGCTTTTAAGGGCGTTCAGTTATTTTGAGTCAATGCTACAGCTGAAAAACAGGAAAAATACTACTTGCATGCAAAATAGCCTGTTCTAGTTCTGGGCTGTATTTGCAAACTGATATTAACCAGCTTAAATTGATGGAGTCTCCCACTGACTTGCATTAAAATGACTAAACTTGGCTTAGTTGTTGAGATGTTAGTCCAATTTTTCGGAGCTTATGTGTAGCTGGAAATGCAACATGTTGAGCTTGCTCTCTAATGTGCCTCTGATACTTGGTGCTGTCATTACAGGTTTCTTACAAGCACATCAGACTTTCTTTTACTGTAGTCTCGCATAATATAAATCTGATGGAGTTCAACCAACTTACATGCCTTACATAGTCTTTTGCAACATTTCTTTGGCATACTTTAACTGATCGTGTAGTCGCTCCTTTCTATCTCCTAAGAGATATCTTCAGATAACAGATATTAGATAGATAGATAATAGGTATCTTCTAATGGATATTTTTGGATATCTATTTTGCAAGCTTTACTGATTCCTGAGTAGCTGATGCTTTCAAGGCCTTATTTTGCCATTTTATACAAGCAGTGGGAAGGAATGCGTGGGTTTGGCATTCAGGCACTTGATCCAGCCACTATAATTTATCCATACAGAAGAGTGATAGTAATTGTCTGGTACATGTAGTATAGTGCCCCCTTTTCCACATGCTACTTTAATTTCAGCAGTTTGCAATGGCTGTTGCCATCTTACGTCTGACTTGAACTCAGTCATAGCATTGTAGGACAGTTCTTGACGACATGGGTTTTTTCCTACAGTTCAATACTGCATTGTCACTGCATGCATACACAGGTGCATGCTCTCTCTCTTTATATCAGCATAAATATATATGCTGGTAATGCAGAATGATAGTGAGATTGAAACAGTAAAGTACTGTACTCTCAGAGTTATCTGCACAGCCAATATTTAGTTACTGGAAAGAAGCAGGTCATGCATTAGTAGCTCTAACCTGTTATTTAACACGTGGTCCCTGCAGACTACAAATTTCTCTCTGCCATATTCAATGAAAATTCCTTTGTCTTTGAGCATCAAGAATTACTGCCATATAAAAAACGCTAAGCAAAAGTGTTGCAAGGAGATGACTTTGCTGGATATCATTTTTGGTAGAAGAATACAAAGGCCTTTCTACCATGCTACCATGAAATGACTGAATACTACTTATTAATTTTTCAGGACAGCTGAAGTTTGCAGAAATCATGGTTGATGGTAGTGAAGACCTTGGTTAGATTGACACACATCTTGCATAGGTATCTCTCTTTTTTCTTTTTTTTTTCTTCTCATTTCTTTTTAGTTTCAAAAAACATATTAACTGCACCCAAACCTGACCAAAAGCCGAAATGACTTTCTAGAAAAATTTTTTTTTGCAATCTAGTTGGTAATTCTGACCATTTTAGAAAGGATTTTTCTAGCAGTTGAGAGAATTAAGGCTTCACTATAGCTATTGCAGCTTCAGCAGTCATCTTCCTGTTTTCTAGCACTTTTTCAGATATGAATTAATACAAATCTTATTTCATGTTTTTGTAGCTAGTTTTTTAATGTTAATTCCATCAACAATATAGAATTTGCCTAAAGCACTTCAAGTCCTATGGTGGTTCTTCAAAAATGATAGGAGAATAAACAGTGTGTTGAATTTTGAATGGGTGTAACTTAGTACCTTTTTAAAAGCAGCCTATTGCCATGTTCTGGCAAATGGGTCTGGAAGAACTCAAGATGTTTTTACTGTCATAAACAAAAGTTAACTGTATGTGGTTGACATATAGGTCTAGTCCATTTTTAAAAACCTATGAGAAAGAGAGAATATTGAGTTTTCCACAGACAGTCTGGTCTGTTGCTTCCATAACCTTTACTACAGGATATCTTAATGCCTAGTGTTTATCTTGTAGGCTAAAAATTAACCTGGATACTCCCTATTCCATCACTGCATCTTTTAAAAGTTGGGAAAGCATCTGTTTGTAGACATTCTACAGCTTTTTTGTTGCCTGGCTTTAAGGGACAAGTGAAGATATGTCAACATTTAAATGAAAGTGAATACCACTTAATCAGTTCAAATTTAAAATTGATTCCTTGGGCCTATACTTACACTATCAACGAGCTCTTTCCAACTTCTAGTTGAAAAGATTGCTATACAGACTAAACTCTACAATTAAAGCAGTATTTTCAGTGTCTTAGATCAATTCAAACTTAATTCCAATATCCTAATTCACTGAACATGTAAATATTAGTGGTCACTCCATTGCAAAAATTGAAAACAGACTTAAAAAAACCAAACCAAAACAAAAAACAACCTATTTCTGATACTAGTTAGCAGGGTGAGAAATGTTTGTACTTCAACCCTCCCTGGAAAGTCTGAGGCCAGATTTTTAAGTTTTTCTGGTGCCACAAGATGCAGATAGTTGCAGATTGAAATCCTTTACCGGCATCCTTAAGAATGTGACCAGACAGGCATTCATCAGTTCACAGATTACCATTTATTAATGTAATAACACAGTCGTAAATCCAAAATATTTTTGATATTTTGTGAAGTAATCACCTGAGGTAGTTTTACTTTATTACTGTAGTTAAATTCCCTTTTAGCTTTAGTTAACTGTATTTTGAATTAGTACACTTGGATGTAAAGCATAGTAACATTAATTAATATAAAGATGTTATGAAGTACTGTTCATTTATTTTTATATTGTTACGTTTGTCTGAAAAGGTGTGCGAGATAGCACTTCCCTGTTTCCCCTTCTCTCCCCCACACTGGGGAGGCAAGAAAAGTCCCACAACCTTACAGATCAATAGGTTTTAATGGCTTGCTAATGATCAAGATTAAGTATTTCCTTAAGATAATCCATTAGTAAAGCCTGCACAGACTAAATGGACTTAAGCCAAGCTTTTCTCTTGGTAAATCCACAATCTTTAATCAAGGTGAAAAATCACCAATTAGAATGTCAGTCTACCCTACTTGAGGCCTGACACTTTTTAGCAATTCCTGCCTGGAATACATTGCTAATGTGCTGCAGTTTCTCTGGGTGTTTTCATTGAAAATGGGAGTCTGTTATTAACAACAGCATTCATAATAATGCATGTGGCTGTAACTGGGTATATTTGCAAAATACCAGTGTTGTCACAAACAGTGGATGCTTTGCAGAGCACGGTTTAGGTTCCTCGCTTTTAGTAATTCTCTTTTGCTGTTGGAAATATTCTGGACGCGAAGGTTTCATTTAGTCTTGCGGTAACTAATTGACCATTCAGGTTAAATACCTAGCATTTAAAGTAGTTTTGTGTTCTTTTTCTAATGAACTTCTTGTAAACTTTTTTTCTGTCTAGGTATGACCTTAACAGTAAAACTTCATAACACATAGCTTTTCGTATGGTTTACTTATGTTCCTCTTTTTCGCCATATTTTTATGTACGTTGCATAACGTACTGCATACTGGATAAGTTGAACTGCTTTGGAAGTATTTTTATTTAAAAATAAAAATAATAAAAAACCCAAAACAAAACAAAAAAAACCCAAACTGGCAGAAAGTCAGAAATATGGTCCTCAGCTGGGGATAAGACTGAGAATCACCAGCAAGGTTGCTGCAGAAGTGAGGTGAAATGGGGAGAAAGTTGGCTGTGTGCGGTCAAGTGGGACCACCCTTGAGTTTAAATCTTTTCTTGTGCTTGCTGAATCATGGGGAACTAAAAGGATGACCATTGGCTTTTACGTTTGCAAATACTGCGAGCAAAAACTTGAGCAAGTCAGACTGATGTCAGATAAGTCATTATTTGAATAACAAAACTTAAACTTGCTATTTGTTGACTTTGCTTTTAGTAAGTACTCGTGAACAGTGTTGTGTTCACATACGTTTGCCTAAGATACTGAGTCTGGGCAGCAGATGCAATATATTCAGGTACAGACAATTTAAAATGTAGAGGATCAAGGCTTTATTTTGCATGTAACTTGACTGGTTGAAGATCATGTGTTCAGTGTTTTTGGCAGGTAGTTATTGCAGTAGTGACAGCACTATGTAACTAACTCCTTACAAATGTAATAAACCTTCTTTCCCCCCTTTTCTTTCATAGGTAATGTACAAACGAATCCTGCAGCAAGCAGGTTTTATACAGTTTGCACAGCTTCAGTTCCTTGAAGCAAAAGAACTCTTCAGGTAATTGTGTGACAAGAAATTTATTAATTTATCTTCTTTAAATAAGGAGCTAGTGTTCTTGGTTTTAAAAACTTAGTCACTTGAATGTTTCTTGATGCAGATGTGAATTCACCCTGATAAAATGGTTTTGTTGGGGGTAAAAACAGAGTAACATTGAAACAACTTTATAAATGAAGAGTTAATGCAACTGATTTTTTTGTATACTAACATACAGTAGCATTAAGGCTGTAATCCTGTAATCTGAGTGTTGTATATGTGGAGATTTTTTTACTTTATGCCCATGAAGGTCAACACTTTAATATTGAGCCTGTGATTTACAGCATGAACATTGCCTGATTCTTCTTTCTTTTTTATGAAAAAAAAAAACCTTAACAAAAAGTTACAATTTAAGTGTTAGTTACAATTTAATATTATTGACACAATTGCACTGATTTTTTTGAGGATGCTGATACTGAATTTGTTTTAATACTTGTTCTGCTAGGCCTTTTCCAGAAGACAGATTATTTGTTCTTGAAGTCTGTACTAACCTTCCCAATTTTGCTGTTTCAGCAGTCACTTGTTTAGAAATTGACCTTGGTACTCCACTTTCATTCAAAAAATGCTGCTCGTTATCTTTATTTTACATGATAATTTCATTTCTGCTAGCCATGCTCCATTCTGTCATGGGGCACTGTCCAGAGTTAGTGTAATCCATGCTGACCACATAAAATAACTCTCCTTGTTATCGGCTGAAATTCACTTTAAATCAGTTTAGGGTCTATGGAATAGGATTAAGGTTAGACAATTTGCTGTATATTGTAAGTATGTACAGTGTAGGAAATAAGTTGTCCTTGGGTTTATGGAAGCATATCAAGGAAAGTAAAGCTTTGGGGAATGTTCTACTGATGAGGGACTTCACCATTTTGCCTCCTGCTCACCAGGATAATGGGAGACATTGGGCTTGAATGGGCAGTGTACACTGAGTGAAGATTAGGGAATGACAGGAAAGGCCTGAACAGCATTTAGTGGCAACTTGTTTTGGCCACAGCCACTTTCTGTATCACCTTGTAATTTTTGGCATTAGTGAGCAACTTGCAATCCTCCTCCTCCCTGTAATCTTCCAAACACTAGTCTGAATCGCTCCTGTGTTGTGTGTCTGAAGTAGAAGTACAAGCTGTACATAGTTAGGAATCCTTTACAACATTCCCACAAAGCCCTTCCATGTGGCTTTCCAATGGACTTTTTTTCAGTTTTTTCAGTGTGGCCAGCTTTGGTAAAATAGCTTGTTGAGGTTGTACTGGCTATAAAGTGTCTTCGTTGTCTAGGTGTGGCTAGGTAGCCAGGCTTGTATAGCTCTGCAGCTGTCTTGACTATGACTGACACTTCAACTTTTTTCTATCACTTTATTCCACCCTGCCTTACTGGTAGTGGCCCAAGGATCTTTTAAAAGCAGTGAAAAGGGGGAAATGTATTCTGCGGGGGAGCTCCAGCACCTCGTGGAAGGACCCGAGATCGGTTATGCAGCCTCCATCCACCTAGCAGTCCATCTGACAAATGAGCTTTAATGAACAGGATTGTGGGAGCTCCTCTATAGAAAGAAACATGCTTCATGAGAAAATGTGCTGTCCAGGCATGAATTTTGGAGCTGAGTTGGCATCCCAGGGTGTTCCCTTCCTCCAAAAGTTGCAACTCTGAAGCAGAACAACTGTTCATGAATTGCTGACGTCTGCTGGGGGGAGAAAGCAAAGATAAGTTTTCTGTGCTTTTCTTCTGGCCAGCCATACATAAGCTATTCAGAGTATTTTGGTGACTCTGAAAAACTCCTTATGGAATTCAGGTTCCCTGATTTTCAGCCCTGGTGAACACACCCAGTTCAAGTAATACCTGGTTATGCCCTGATACGCACTCAATCTTGTTCGTTTTAGACTTACTGATGCCCAGAGGAGAAATGGGAAAGATAATGGCAGTCTATGCAAACACTTCCTCGTGTCCCCATGTGTTGTTCTGCAGGTGTTTCAAGCTGGTGTTAGTCAGAAATAACTTCAGTCTTAAAATGCCAAAGGGAAACTTGGTACCTATCTGAGAAAAGATGGATTTAGCAGTGAAACAGAGTGGCAGCAGTACCTCCAAGAACTTGGTGTGACATGGACCTACTTCTGGCCAAATATGGAGTGAGATTGTCTCACTCCTCAGAAAATACCTGTCAGTTACAGGCTAGCAGGGGAAATTATTATATTGGTCTGAAGGTCTCGTTTTCTTGCATCAATAATCCTTCTTGGATAACCTTGTCAAGATACACTTATATCTTATGCTTAACTTCATAGTTCTTAAATGCTGAAACTTTTAAGAGGAATACTTTCCTGCTAAGTTCCTTTTGGTTATGCTGATACTTCTGAATACTGAAGAAGATGAACAAAAAGGAAGGAAGTGGTAGCTTTATTGAAACTCAAATAGTTCAACAAAGGGAGGAGAACTTTCTTCAGCTGGATCCATTAAACTTAAACTGAGTGAGCTGTCACAGTGGGGCAGCTTTCGTCTGACAAATTCTGCTATAAGCTATAGCAGAATTGTGATTGTGTTATATAGTTGTGATTTATATATGATATTTTTGCTATTTCATATTGCTATCATTGGAGGCTCGCACGCAGTTAGACCAAACAGAGATGTTTAGCAAGCTGTTTGCTGAATTCTAGATGTCTTGCTGAGATGTTGGTAGCTGTCACAGTGAAACCATTTCTCTTCTGTTTCTCTTTCTCTGTTTGGTTATGTCCTTTCGCTGGTTAGATGTTGCTTACAATCTGACACACCAGATACTGGAACTTTTCTAAACTTTGTTCTCTTTTTAACAAATCAAAATGTTAACAAATCACAGTGTTGTCTCACCTAGGAAAGGCTATAGAGAGACTTACAACTAAAGTCTCTCCTACTTAGGAAAGGTTAAAAAATTACTGGTACTTTATACCTGGAGACATAAGAAGCAGGACTCAGTGTAAGATTTGCATCTTAAATGTGATTCAAAAATATAAGCTTCTATTACAGCCAGTGGGATCTAGGCAAAACAGCTAAATCATGTAGGCTTCTTTGACATCTCTGATATCTGTAAATTTAAGGGTCTGAATTTAGACCTAAGTTTCCTGAAAACTTGTAGATTCTGCCCGTTGCGTTGTTTGTATATATGAAGCCCAGAAAGACCTAATGCAGAATTACTTGAAGGGAAGTTGTCTCTTAACATTGACAGCATGACTTGCCTTAAGAGCCTGTTTTCTACTTTGTGATAAGTTGCTAGCTATATTTTGCTAAACCTGAGATGCTAGAAGCTGAAGACTCAAATGTGTTTTTCAAGAGAGATGAGGTCCTTTGCAGCTGTTCCTAAACTGTTTCCTCCAAATGTGGTGGAAAGAGCCACAAGACATCCACAGATCCCAGGAGCCATAAGCCTTGAGATTAATGTTAACCATTCATGGAGGTGGGGTCATTGTTTAGTATTTGGTATTTTTCTGAAGAAGCTTGTTCTGAATGATACTGTGCTTTTAAGGAGGCTGCTTGATTGCTGATTACCATTGCTGTGGGGAGCGCAAAACTGTACAATGTGAGCTTGAGTCAGACCTGCTGAGACAACCACTGGTGATTCACAGCCCAGGGTTTGAATTAGCCTGAGTTGGAAGCTGGTTTTGATTCTCCTTTTGGAAACAGATGGCCATTAAGGCCAGAATCTGTGAAGTTCAGCAGTGAAGTGGCTGACTACTTCCTCATCTGGGAAAAGTTGGATGATAAGATGAAAGGATGCAGAAGCTACTGTAGAAGTTGGAAAATGTTTTAAAACTTATTAAAGTGGCATGTTAAATATAGCATTTTTAACTTCTTCATCTGTCTCCATGGTCATAGTCTCCATCTCAAGTTTAGGCCATCTCCCAATACTCGACATCATACCCAGCAAGGGAACCAACGTTTATACTTGAATTTCTGTGGATTTGTCAAGACTCCTTGCTTCTGCATTAATTTTGAGTAGCCTGTTGATGTTATTCAAGTTGTGGGTTAGCTTTTGTTCTAAAACAAATCAGTGAAGAACCTTGGGGGGGAGGAATCTCTTATTTCTTTAAATAGGGTTAAATTTCTAGTGTAATACATCTCATGCAATACATTTTATCTGGTGGTCCTCAGACCTTAAACTTTTGTGAGTAGTTGGACTAGTGAAAGCTGCAGTTAGATTACTGTAATGAGTTCATAGTGAAAGCCCAAATGCTCTTTGAACTGTCAGGTCACACCACTGACAGAACTTCTTGGTTATTATGTCTCTTAAAAAGAAGTCCTCATCTACTTGTGAATTCCATCATGATGTAGATCTAAGAATTTTAAAACCAAAGATCAAGTCTGAAAAGAGGGATTAAAAGGAAATTTCAACTGAAGAAATCTGCAAAGTAGACATGAACACTTTACTCTTGGTTAGAGGCTGGCCTTTCTAGCGTGGAGGTGGTTTTTGGGCAGTAGGAGCTCTGTGTACGAATCAGAAAAACTTGCTATTCAAACCTCTTCTCACAGGAGGGCTTCCCATGTTCAGATTTTCCTCTGTTGTGGTCCTCTGTTGTTCGTGTTGCTGTTCCCATGCTTTGCAGTCACTAAGTTCTGGAACAGGATACTTGCTGCTTTTAAATTTGCTGTTGCTGCTGTCTCCCAGAATTTCATTCTTCTGGTATAGATTTTTGTAGCCAAAGGACAGTATTTACTTTTTTTAAAGGTTCTAAATAGGTGTTGCCATGGTGATGCTTCCTACTAGTTCATATTTCCTGGGTGGTTTTGGAACTGTCTCTGGCAAGAAGTGAACAACTCGGGGCATGTCCCACTGCTTTAGTTACTTTACAACAGTAGGGAAGGGATGAACCTGCTTGTGAGGATCCTTCACACTTTACTGCTTGCAGAAATCTACTGCTTCATCTACTTCCATGGTTATAACTGGTTTCTTTTTGGAATTCTTTCCAATCAGGGTTGTGAAGGGAAAGTCTTTTTGAGGTTGCTGATCACCGGATAGATAAAAACTATTTTTTAAAAGTTTGATTTGCAACAGAATAGTAACTAACCAGGGTTTGTTTTAGAAAATGAACTGTCAGTTCATTTTGATTTTTTTTCAGCAACAGTATCTCCTGCATTTCAGGAATGCTCATCTTTAAAGATGAATTCTGAATAATGACTTTGACAGTGAAATAAAATACAAATTCTGATTTCTTGCCGTTCTTCTAAAGCAAGGCCTGGGAGGAGGAGTCATTCTAGCTGTGAAAACTGGGGAGTTGTTTGCCATGAGTGAAAAAACTTCTTGTTTTATTCTTCTGTCACAACATGCATTCTTCAAATGCTTGAGAAATTTCTTCAATCTAGGCCGAAAGCGAAATGCTTTGTGTAGCGTATCTATGTTACAGCTTGCTCCTGGATTAAGTATAGATGCCCTTCACATGCGGAGTGGGAAAGCCACTCCGTAGTATCTGACATAGATGGTACACCCAAGACCTATGCCTGTGCAATAGACTGCTGCTTATTGGTTAGACAGATGTGTAATCAGTATCCACGGTTCATTTTCAGAACCTCCTTAAGAAGTGAGCTGAAGGAGGAATCTGGTGCATTTCAGTGTTGGGGAAAATGTTTTAATAATCCAAACACGTGTTCTGAAAGCTTGAGTTTTCTGCGGGAAGTTGCTGTTTTCTGCAGAATTACACTCGCACTGTCTTTGTGGCTTGCCTGAATGGTTTCACTCTCTCCATTTTTTTTTTTGTGCCTCCATCAGGAGACTAGCTCCCATAATGTATGGATGAAGTCTAGGACGGTCCTAGGAACTGCACTAAGGCTCTTCAGCTGATTTTTGTATATGCCACAGAACAGCTGTGGGATCTCAAAAGCAAAAGGCCGGCCCGTCTCCGAATTCTCAGAGCTTTCAATGTCTAGAGGAGGAATAAGAATGATAAACAAGTTTGGATAGAAATAGCAAAAAAAAAAAATATCCAAACTTCTTCTGAATGTATTTTCTCCAGCATAGAAGGCAATAACTTTCAGAAACCGACAACCTGTTAGTGTCCTGACTCTAAGCATATGTGTGCACACATTCCCAGTATGTTATTTTTTTGTGCCTATGTATACTTTTTCTTTCTTTTTGCTTCATCTAGTTTGACACTGTAATTGCAGAAGCGGCCAGCTTGATGTCCGGGAGCTGATCTCTCTCTACCCCTTCCTGTTGCCTACTTCCTCTTCATTTATACGGTCTCATCCCCCTCTGCATGAGTACGCGGACCTAAACCAGCTGACCCAAGGGGACCAGGAGAAGATGACAAAATGCAAACGATTCCTCATGAGTTACTTGAATGAAGTCCGCAGCACTGAGGTTGCAAATGGCTACAAGGAAGATATTGACACAGCTTTACTCAAGCTATATGCAGAGGCAAATCATGAAAGCCTGCTGGATCTGCTAGTTTCGGAGAACTTTTGTCTTTTAACAGATAGTGCTGCCTGGCTGGAAAAACACAAAAAGTGAGTGGTCTTTTTGAGTATTGCACCTTTGAGACCAGAGGGAAAATTGTCTTAAACGCTGTTGGCTTCTAGAGCAATGTGTTCAAATCCTTGTAGTTCCTGTGCTTTCAGGTCCAAAAGACAACTTGGCCTGACTTTTCAGTATTTAAAAATGTTGGTGAAGAGGTATTAGTTGACAGTCTGAGGTAAAGGAAATGCATTCTGTCTTACGTTGGTAAATACAGAGTTGTCCCTGAAAGCTTCTGTGTCCAACACAAAAAATAAAGGATTGGTACAAATTGGGGGGGGTGGGGGGAGGGAGGAGGAGGAGGAGGGGGGAAGTGTTTTGTTTACCCTTGTGACAATGCAATAGTTGAATGGAGGGAGT